CGTCGTAAACTTCTGCTTATTGATATCGTAAGAGCCGAAATGTATTCATCCTTGCTTTCCCGTCATATTCAGAGTGTTTCAATTGAGATTGTGATCAATTGTTAACGTACTTTAGAAGTATTATCCAATATTTCTTGAACTATATTGAAAAAAAAACTAATTATATTTGATATGTATTATTTCTGCATAGTTAATAATTATTCAATTTAGAGTATGGACACCACTAGGTATAAAAAAAGCCTTAAGATTTTTGTTCCAAAGTAAATTTTGCTTTCATTTTTCATATTTGTTCCATTTCCATAACCCTAACCACGCATGTCTTTTAAAGTTTATCAGATGCGAAACATTTGCAACAAAAACAAAAGTTACAATTCAATTTCTCGGAATAAACATGCCAATTTTAAAGACTGACTCTTCATTTTTTATTATCCCGATTATAATTTTTTTATATTTTTTAACAAGTTCTGTTTCAACTAAATCAGCTTGCAATTTTCGTCAATAATGCCTAATAATTAATTTCACATTTTGCAGGTTTGTGCTTATGGGATTGAACACTAGATAATTTCTTTTTTGATTCCACGGTAACTTTAAACAAAGAAAAAATTGAATAAGTACATTAAGCAATAAACAGAGCTGTTATTAACTAATTTGCAGAGTACTTAATCGGTTAATTGTTTCTACTGATATCACATTGTAAAATAAATATGCTTTTTGTGTCTCCGTATCCCTAGTTAAGTTAGATTGTTTATTATAATTTATCAAGTACTCAAGATTTTATATAAATAATAAATTATTAAAAAATATAGATAATATATTATAAATTTAATTTCCGAAACTCGTTGTGGCGCCCCATAAGGCGTGCGCCCGCATTTTTTGCATGCATCGCATGTAAGGCAGGACCGGCCCTGTGTACAGTGGTACTCCGCCTTACGAGCTTAATTCGTTCCGTAACTCTTCTCGTATGTCGAATTGCTCCTATATCGAAGCACTTTTTTCATATAAATACATTAATGGTATATTAATTAAGATCAAATACATATTCTGCAAAAATTGACTAAAAATTTTGGTAAGATTTAAAATTAAGAGTAGGGTAAATTATAGTAATCGCAAATTAAAATATTTATATATATATTTTGTTTCAAAGGTTTCTGAGTATTTTGGCATACTTTAGAAGAAATGGATGTATATGTATGTGTGTATACAATTTTGAGAACACGGACCAACCGATTTGATTGATTCAAAAAACATTCGATTCTTATTGATAAGGAGACGTGCTGATTATATTTTGGTGGGTGTAGCCGTTTCGAAGATATGTACTGGGCAAAAAGTACCGAGAAGGGTATTTCAGTTTTTGAGATAACGAAGCGTCCGATTAACTAGTTAAATTTTTGGGAAGGCAGGTCCAGCGTTTCCGCAAATCCAATGCAAAAAAGTAAAAAAACAATGCCATTTGGTGGTCAAAAATGATCATTAGACATATGCACATCAAATTTTCAGATATTTTATAGAGATTATAATAATAAGTACAAATTTTATGTACATTTGTATGAGTTCCGTACTAATGTTCACACGTCAGACTGTAACGCGGCTGCTTTAAAAAAAGTTCAAAACTTGAAAAAAAATTTACAATATATAATTTTTTTTTTTCAAAAATTTCAAACATTTTTAAAAATTTCAAAATTCTCTATCTATATTTTCCAAGTTTTGAAATAATTTTAAAGTTTTTTTTAATTTAATTTTTTTGTACGGAAAGTTCCAGTAATTTGCCTTATGGCACGATTCCATCCACTAATATTTTTTATCTTTTCAATGTTGTGGTAGGGCAGAAAATTTAGTTTTTTGAAAACTTAGTATATTGCAAAAATGAGTTAGATACAGTTCGTCTAACAGTTCGCAATGCTCGACAGGTTGCATATTTTTTGGGGTGATTTTTATCAACAAACTTTTCAACTTTGTCCCACGTTGCACGAACAATGCACAAAAACTAGTGAGGCGCATGGCATCGTGCTTTAAAGCAAATTGCTGGAACTTACCGTACCGTAACGAAATGTTCGAGAAATATTAAATGTTTTCAAACAGGTCATTATACATTCTGTAATATCGTTAACTATTTATAAGAATTATTTAAACTAAATTGCAAAGTTGAAATATATTAGAACTTTAATCAGAATTAAAAATAAAATCTGAATTATTTTAGATATACAAAAAAAAAATTTTTTTTAAAAAAAATTGTAAAAAAAAATTGATTTTTTTTTTCCAAAATCAATTATTTTGTTAAAACAAGCAGAAAGTTCTTTGAATCATTCAAATCGGACGCTTAGTTCTCTCAAAAACTGTCATTTTTTGCACATTTAGCTCTGTATCTTCGAAATGGCTGGGCCTGCCTTTCCCAGAAACTAATAACCACTTCTCCCAATCATTACTAATTGAATGTTTTTAGATGATTCAAATTCGGTGCTTCGTTCTCTCAAAAACTCGATTTCTATTTTCTGCACTCTTTGCTCTTTATCTCCGTAACTGCTGGACCTGCCTTTGCCAAAATAAATCAGCACATCTCCCTATCAATAGGAATCGAATGTTTTTTGAACCATTCAAATAGGTTGATCCGTGCGCTCGAAAACGTGAACGAAAAATTGCGGACACACAAAACACACACGCACACACATAAACACACATCCATTTTTTCTGAGGTATGCCAAAATGTTCAGAAACCTTCAAAACGTCGAGAAATGCAAAAATTTTCAATTTCGATTTTTTGACGAAGTTAATAATGACACAATTAATATTAATGACTAGAGGTTTTAACTTTAAAATAATTTACTTTAAATGACAGTTAAATAAGACTTCACACAAAAAAAATCCTTGTTACAATTGATATTAGATGTTTCGTATTTCATATGCAGTTATGCACTCTCATAATAAGTTTACATTACCAGTGTATATACAAATTGTCGGAGCAATTTTTTTATGTAAGTACATACATTGAAATGCCATTTCAGTGCTCGTTCTAGCACAATAATAATAAATGAAACAATGAAAATGAGAAATCAGATACATATTCTGCAAAATCATGACTAAATTTTTTTTATAATTTATAAAATTTTGTAATACGCTTTGTGAGCTGCACCTACTATTAATTACTCCTGATAAGTTTTAATGCAATCGGTTTTATTAGATTATGTTTGATTAAAATATAAAATTTTTATTGAGACAATTTGTTTTCCACATCGCCAGAATTGTATTTTTACAAGGATATTGCATTCTTGCGTTTTTTCCGGAATAGTATCAGATCTATCTGAGCTATCCTTTTGGTAATAGCATGATCTAAATTGTTGTGGATTTTATGTCTTTTATAAACTTATAACTACAAAGCGATATATTAATGTATCATCATATTTTAAGCTTACATTTTTATTAAAAAAATGCGGTTTTTTATTTGCTTTATGGATATAGAATAATATAAAATACGAATAATTCAAACTTTTGTGACGACATAGTTGAAGAACTAGTAGCTATCAGTAACGGAGGTAACTAGTAACAGGCGTTTTCCAAGAATATCTTAAACGATATTAAAATATTCTTTATCTTGATTTGACATGTGAACCGTCCTGCATAATATTGTCATAGCTACTGTCCAGCAGGCAGATGCAATATACAAAACTGTGCAGGTCCGTCATTTTGATCTGAAATAAAAACATTGATCTACCAAAAAATTTTGATTTGCGTTATTCTTGTCGACTAAATTTAAATTTTATATATCTTAATTTGTTTCAAATTTAAAAATCTTTTAATAATGTGTAATAAATTTTGGGATTGCTAAATTGTGTAAATAGCTACCTTGATTAATTTAAAAAAATCACATCTCTTGTTTGTTGAAACAAAATCCTGGGACTAGATGTGTAACATACGCAAATTATATACATATTCAAAAAAAAAAATGTGGTGGAATGTATAGTTTGTAAGATGTGGGCGCATGTAAATTATGTTTGAGAAAATACTATATGTTTTGTTTGTATTATTATATTATTTGTAGTTTTTGTTGATTTATGATGAAAATTTGAATCAACTGGTAACACATATTTTATTTGTATTAATTAAAATTAACTTTGATGTGCAAAAAGAATTGCTCAGAAATAAGTCAAACAAGAGTGAAGAAAATATTATCAGAGGTGTTATTGCCGTTTTTATATTGTTACTATTTGCAACGGCCGATGTTACAAGTAGTTCCAAACACAGGGTAAGTTGTAACACCGCATTTTTACTAGAAAATTATTATTTGTGAAATAATAAACAAAATTGTGAAACTATTCTTACTTGATTCGGTAGTCGAAAAGCTACAATGATTTTTTTTACAACTATCCATTTTTAATTCGTAGAAATGTAACCAGTGGATCTCAAGATATATTAATTTAAAATACAAAACTGTTACAACCAGCTCTTAGCTCACCCATTTGTGAGTAAAGAGCTTAGCCATTAATGTTATAAATAAGGTAAAAAAGTCTCGTTTAAAATTCTAAAATTTTTATTCAAAATATATATTTTGGCTTTGAGATATTCGAGGTGTTTTTTAGTTTATTATGAATATGATATGAGTATAATAAAAAAAATCTCAATATTTCATGAGTGGCACTCATATAATGCCGACATCATAACTAATAGATGTTATTTAAGTTTTAAAATAATTAATTGAATATATGCATTTTAAAAATGAGACAATTATGAGCAATGACTTCTCAAAATTGGAATTGAATTAATTTGCTTTAATCAATAATATAATTAAATAGTAAAATATTGTTTTTTATTCAATTACCATGTCTTTCTGTTTTTATTCTAAATGATTAAATTTTGAATATATCAAAATCTTTGAAACAAACATGAAAATTCTGAAAGCAAATTGGATTTGAATGATAAAACATCTTGATTACATTAATATAATATCTTTATTCAGACATACTCGATGACAATTTTTGCAAAGAACACTATGTATGTGCGAACAGAACACAAATAGATTAAACTAAAGTACCTAGATAATTAGTACAACATTTTTAGATCACAATAGGACATCTCCGGCCCGTTCGAGATCACGCAATATATATTGGGTCGATCACTCGTTACATTCTCACCTCTAATAAGACTACACTTTATTAAGGTTTGGGTACTATACAATAGGATTAGTAAGGGGTGTATAGTGATCGTACGTTTGCAAATAATACTTATAATTTATCTTACGTGCTCACGTACTTGAAATAATAATAATACATATAATAATATAATATAATATAAATGACAACTTTATACAATGAGATTTGTGACGGGGAACGCTCAATCCGAGCGTTCCGTCCAAGTGTTAAGAGCGTGCATAAAATAGGATTTGTTAGTAAGATAGTCTTCCGTCTTATTCGAATGTGCTTAACCGAATGTCGTCCTCAATTTGCTGATGGCATTGGTCAGATGCAATACTTCGGTATTCAATTGCGCTACAAGCGTTTCCAGGCTGTCGACCGAGTCTAATACTTCGACGCGTTCGGTGTAAGGATTGAATCGGACCTCGAATGGCCTGGACATACCGGACACCCAATGCCTGAATTTCGATTTGGCATCTTCGAAGCTTTCGGCTACGTAGTAGATGGGTTGGTATTCTTGATCTTGGTATGCTTGGAGGGCGGTGGATGATGGTTCGAATGGGCGGTGTTCTGGTTTATCGCTGAGAGCATGTAACAATTCACCGTAGGATGACAATAAACCAGCGCCGTATGCCTTAACTTGGTTGTCTTCTTTGCACAAGCCGAACTCAACAGTGAACCAGTAAACCTGTGGATGAACATACAAGATTTGATTAAAAATTTACAAAATTGTAACGTATATTATTCGCTTGAAGTAGCAGAGAAATCAGTTTCGCGTAAAAGATGAATTATTTAAATAATAAATATATGTTAAGGATACTAATAGTTTTCACTTATATCTTCAAACATTTAAGATATTGAATCATAGAAGGTCAATATAAGATTTTTAAAATCTCAGAATATTATCAATAAATCACTATTAGCATCTGTTACTAAACATCAGATCTAGATATTTTGATAACGATTTCTATAATTAAAATTAATTCATATTTGTTTTAATTTTGACCCAGACCGTAAACGAATATCATAGTCTATACAAAATGAAAGTTAATTTAGAATTTCAAGGAAGTATATTATCGCGATTCGACCATGGTCACCGAAGGTGTATTACAAGTGCGCATATCTATTTAATATACATGTATGATTTGAATCGAAAGGTTTTTAAACTCACCGTGGACAGTTTCTCAATCTCTGAGTCGGAAGCTCCAAGTGAAGCGAGTCCAATTTCTTGAGAAAACTGAGCGAAACTTGGATCGGCCAACAGAGGCATATGGCCCAAAATTTCATGAATGCAGTCACTAGAAAGGAAAAAAAAGAAAATGATAATCACTTATTTATTTATTGATTAATAAAATATATATATATATATATATATATATATATATATATATATATATATATATATATATATATATGTACATTCATATGTATGTTCTGAAATTCAAAGCGAATTTTTTGCAACACCAACGATCGATAAATAACAAGGTAAAGCCGCTATCACAGAATAATTGCATTATATGTTCATCAAAGCTTTCAAATTATTAAGTTCTACCAAGAAGTTGCGCGCTATCACGGTTAAAGGAGAGTGTCGTATTATTCAATTATGTCATACTAGTAACACTTCTCTTCGCCAATTTAAATATAAATTACAGTGCAAGAGATCGCTAATTTTCTCATTTCCGAATTAACTTTATTCAACAATATTTTATTAGTTTATTGAATTTATGAATTAATTCCTTTTACTAGTGCAATATGTAATTTGATATTAATTTAAATGGAACAATACTAATAATTTCCATTTTATAATACAATGAAGTATTGTAGAAGTGCAATCTAAATACATCATCAAATATGGCTAATCATTTTGCGTGCTATCATATTCAAAAAAGATATAGTAATGGGATACGTAATTTTAAACATTTAATTAATAAAATAATTATTAACTTCCCGTAGGGCAAGTTATAGTAATTAATTATCGAGTTTAATAGGAAATATTTTTAGTGCGTTAGTTGAAACAATAATTTGAATGCATGATACTTACGGTTCAGGCGTGTGGAATGGGCTGTTAACGTGTCTCACATATTGGGTGCTTTGGAAGATTCTGAAAGCCAATGAAGCAAGGAAATCTCTAGCCGTGAGAAGACCGGCTGCTGGACGAAGTGAAAATCCGGTGTTGCGTCTTAAGAAAGCGCTCATAGTCTCAAGTTGTGGTATACGATCTTCGATAAAGATTCCTTCAGCTTGCAATTTTCGGAAAACAGCGCAGTATTCGGCGCAAGCATGCTTTGGCATGAGATCTAATACAGTATTGAAGACTGATGACCAAGTACGGTTCTCTACTTCAGTGTATTCAATGTGTGGGATTGGGTCTCCGTATTTGTAAGCAAATGCCAATTCAGCGATGATTTTCCTGCGAGCTCTGTATTCTTTATCGGCGAATCCTGGATGGTTCATGTCTAAATCGGGTTCGTATTTGGTCATCAGATGGTTGCAGTCGTCCAATTCGGAAGCGTGGCGTGGGAACCATGCTTCTTTGACGCTAACACCGACGTCAGAAAGCAGAGTAACACCAGCGAGAGCTGAGCTTTGGCGGAAAGCGCGTACCAGCTGAAGAAGGCTGGCGCGGCTGGCATCAACTTTGATGAGCACATCGAACTGTACGCCTGGTTCGCGGGATGGTCTCGATTCCAAATGATTAACAGTAGCGCGATGATGTTCCACTGTCTTCAATACACGTGACAGAGAACCGATTCCTTCGCGCATACGAAGCACAAGTGCTGCACGTTGAACTTCTTCGGGGGCTTCGACTGCTGCGTTGGCTAAAATTACCTCTTCTTCAGTGAGTTCAGAATCTAATGAAATAATTAAATAAAAGTTTTAGTATCATTGAGATGCACGAAAATAAATTATAAAATGACTGCAAGTTCAGATTAGTCAACTCGCGCCGATAAGGCATTCTAATTTTTTGTATATGGTACTATAGTTTATCGCATAAAGTGAAAGGATTTGTTATGCGTTCGTCGGTAGTCGAATATTATTGTCGATTGATTTAAATTAATACGAGTTATTAACCGGCCGTGTAATCTATTATCTTTTAGTTCGATATCGTGTAATGTCTCTTGTATAAACGTTGTTACCTTACCCGTACCACGAACTTGACTGAGAATTCGCGTCACCCACGCGCCGCCTATGAATCAAAATGAGTGGACGTGATACAAGATTCGCTACTACAGCGAGAATATTTTTCGCATTGTGGAAATGGCATTTAGAGCTTAAAAGCGTGATATAAGTGCACGATGAGTGCTCGGGAATGCTTTCGAGAAAAATCTAATAATACTGTACCATTTCTATGATATATTTTAAATGTATTATAAGAAACGTCATAAAATTCGCGCCAACTTTTACGTGGTCGGTAAATTAATAATAATTGAAGTAACTGCTATTTGTATTGTTTTGACATAAAACCTGATTTTTATTTAATAATACGTTTGTTGTTTATAACTTACCGTCAATTGTTTTTCCGTTGTCATCCCATGCATTTAATTCTTCTGCGGTTGGTGAGTCAGATTGTACTTTGTCATCTACACGAGCGAAACAAAAATGCAAACAAAACATTAACAAAACATAAAAACACATAACATGCGAAATGCATTAAAATTTATAGATAGTAAAATATAAAGGTAAAAAAGATAGTAAATTATTAAAAATCACACTCATAGAAAGATTTTGTGTATCTGAAGTTTTATTAATTGAAATAGTTGGTACCTACCATAATAATCATTCTGTCCATTGTGTTCTTGGCCATCGAGACTCGAATCTATACCATGCAAAGAATAAAACATAGATGTAACATTCACAAAACTAAAGAATAACAAAAATAAAAAATAATCATAATAAACGTACTACTTATCATAATGTTTGCCAAATATTTAAACATGTTGTGATTTGTATACATTAAAAGTCCCAAACACTAGATACACAGCAAAATGGCGACTGTAGCAACAAGGGACGAAATATAAAACACGAGCGATATTTTGCGACTACCGTAAGCTACTGCTAACACTTCAGAAATAACTTTAATAGCAGATTTATTATAAAGCGACCAATCTACTTTTACAGGCCTTGATGGATCTCTCATAATGCATAGTTTTATCGCAAGGTCTATAAATCTGAATAATTCCTTCGTATCGTAAAACTATGTCAACTAAATCCGATAATTAACAAATGTTGTGCCTCCATCTGTCAATGATAATATGGAAATCATCCAAAATCATTAGAACGATACGTTTTTTAATCGATCTTAAATATGCAGACAGAAACTCGCCCACGACGAAATATTCAACTCACAATAAGTGTTTCCCAATGTCTGTCAGATTAATTTATGAGTCGCTCAACATAATTTAATGAGCATCAAAACTATTAGAAATAAATAAGGGATTCAAAAAATCGAAAAATTAGATTAAAATAATAAGAAATACCTGACTATACATAGGGATTCTCAAACGCGATATAATCATAAGTATATAAATATATAAAAAATCATTAAAAATTTTACATGTGCCGGACAGATTGTTCAACTCGAAAAATGTTTGACTGGCTATCAAACTTTGGAAAATACTTTATTAACTGAAAACATTCATTACAATTATCTAACCATGCAATACTAAAACATCTAACAAATAAACACTCTGCTTTGACAGAGAGTTTCAGACAAAAAATACCTTAATTCGAGTAAACACAGTAATGTTTTCTTTGTAACTTTAGTGCTTGAGACTTACAATGATAATCACGAAAACATATAAACAAATCAAAAAGAACTAAAAAAATAGAAATAAATTGAAAGCACATAAATGTACAAAAATTTTATAAACTTGAGTCTAAGAGTTTATTGAACAATATATCGAAGTGCATATTAAATCACGTAATCTGATACTAATAATGCTTAACATTGACATTTTTTTGCAGACTTACCGTTGGCTCTCTGGCGCGCTTCTTCAAGAACAGACTGTTTGGTCTGTTTGACTACGAGGGTCTCGAAACGCGCGTCGTCGACCAGCGACCGGCGCCTGGATGGATACCCGTTCTGAAATAATTATAATCACCAGGTATTTACTATTTCATAAATTTTTCTGTTTAATGAATTCAAATACATATCATTATATGAGGAGCATGCCAAATTTATATATAAAATACGCTCCTGAGAATCAGTTCAGTTACATCAAAAAGATGAGAAATAAGTTATGCAATGTTATGCTTTATGATGCATGAAAATTGATATATAAATATAATTAGATACTTAGTGTTCAAATATGAGGTTTAAATTAATTATGATAATTAGGTTGGCTATGAATAATGAATTGTTGATATAGGAATTAAAATACAAATCTCTGTTGCATAGAATTATACTAAGTAATTAACTTCACAAAAAAGTTTTCTTTCTATCCACCCAGCAATCTCAAAATATAATATGCCCTAGTATGTATTTCTAAAAAAAAAACGAAGCTACTCACTGTGTATCTAAAAAAAAAAACTAGCCCACCCATCAAAAATTTGCTTCCGACGCCACTGCTTTCTATACTAAATCCGATTCTCAGAAATTTAAATATCATTTCATAAAATTTATAATAACTCGCAATGTTTAGTTTTGTGCTACGAATTAAAAAAAAATCCAAACATATGATAACGCTATCAATTATTGTTAACCTACAACGGTCTTGTGTGAAAATCAGCCTTGTTTTTTCAGATTTAATAGTTTAAAACATCATTTTGCGTTTTCGCTGATAATCTTAAACCGATTTGAAAAAAAATATGATATGTTTATTTTAACAGCGGCTGCAGTATCAGTTAATAAAAATTATATAATGTCTTTCAATTAGTGTTGATCAACTCATGAATCTTATTTCAAGGTATAACACCACTTGCATACAAGATTTGTTTTTATATGCGTATATGACTATGATCATGTTGAAGTTCAACCAAATATATGACTATAATGAATAAATAAAAAATAATGGGCAGTACTGCCCTAGGGCAGGCCCGTGGGCTGAGTTAAACTCCAACTAGATTCAAGGAAAAATAGTGTGAGATATTTTTCATTGTCATTTTACACCGCAATGCCCGGAATGGGCTATATTCAAATGGAAACATATTTTTGATCTATATTTTTAAGTGAAAATGGACATCGCTGGAACTTCTAGCAATTTGCCTTAAGGAATGATGCCATGCACCCCACTAGTTAATAAATATGTCTAAAAGATAAATTTGGTTATAATTCTTTTCCCCTAGAACCCGGTTATATATTTCAGAATTAAGGCGGCACCCTGAATCATATTGGTAGAGTGGCTTGGCACACCACAGTTAAAAGCTTGCCGACCCCTGGTCTAGATTGATTGATATGAATAAAAAAACATCGTAGGTAAAGGCAATTTTGTTAAAGATTATTGTATCAATGATTGATTTATAAATTTATTAAATTTCAATACATCCACTTTAAACTCGGACTGTTTCCTGAAAGAACCTTCTGTGAAATCGATCGTGATCCATAGTGATTTGAATATTTTACACCTAAATAAAATTTATCCATTATATCAAATTTCAAATATAATTAAAATTCGGTTTGTGTTTTCCTAATTATTTCCAATAATCGGTTTGGTGAGCTGTCACAATCATGTTAAATGATTATAGCTAATGAAATGACATGACAGGCTGTCCGATTAAGTAGTTGGCGAAGTGCTGCTCATTACGGTCGCGTTATGCACAGTCGAATGGCTCACGAACACAGGCGCGCCTATCCCACGCGGGTCCCGTCATTGGCGGCAAAGCTCAGGAAATGAACGGCGGAAGCCGAGAACGGAAGTCCATCTCTCAGACGGAGAGCTTTGCGAGACAAAGAATGTCAACTTGACTCGAGAGCACGAAATTTTCGAATCTGCGTACGAATTTGCTGAAGTACTATTTGATTGGGCGTGATATGTACAATATTTAATTTTCATTGTGCACTAGATTAATGGGGTATTCTAGTGTGATAATTCAAAAAAATCGTTTTTTCTTTTATTTTATATTTACAAATTTCAACTATTTAAGAATATGTGTACAAGAGGATTTAAAAAAAATTAGATATATTTGAATTAATTTCGATATAGTTCTTCTGTTTCCTTCCTTTTGCGAAACTTTAAATGCGTTTTTCTCAAAACCGTATTTTTCAATACGACGCCCACGATTTCTCGAGTTCTGAATCGATTTACTTCAAATTTTTAGAGAATTTTTTTTATAAACTTAGAATCATCCCCAAATTTTATAATAGTTTGTCGTATTTAAAAATTCGGGAAACTCAAAGAAGTGGATAAAGTAACGTTAATTTTTTTCAAAAGTCGCCATTTTGACAAAAATTTTTTTTAACTTATCCGTAGTATATACCATAGCGACAACATTTTAGATTAGTAATCTTTTCTTTCTTTTTCATTTCGTATTACTAGGAGGGCTGCAATAGTGGGCATGATCACGTATAAATAATTTTGAAACCCCCCACTTCAGAAACTGCTAATTTTTAAAATTATTAACTTTTTTCTGTACTCTTGTAACATTAGTCAATAAATTATCGAAAAAATAATAAGAAGAAAATGGTTGCCTCTTTTTTACAATTTGAATATGATCTAAAATTCATCTCTCTACACTAGAATGCCCTTTTTTCTGAAGTGTAATTTTTAATTATACGTATGAAATTTGGTGAATACTCTCCGTAATATTTATGATTTTGGAAGACACTTGCATATACTTTACAATTGTGATTACAAGCTAGATTTTTGCTAAGAAAATGAAATATTGACATCATAATTGAATAATCTCTATTTTATTATATTTCTTGAATCGAAATTCAAGTGGATTGAAGAGATCAAATGCCAAATGGGTCCGACAGTATCATCATTCCCTGCGTATAATCTGTAGTAGAATTTTATAGGCGAATAAGAGGCTTAAAGAATCATAAGAGGATCGCAGATTCGTAATCATTTGAGTTATGTTCATCTTTTTTCTACATTTGGAATGACATTTATATTATCTATCACAACACTATATTCTATTCTCTTTGAGAAATTTTACTCGAGGATGTGAATACAAATGATGGAACTTAAAGTGAATAACTTCTAATTGGAACGTTCTAAAAGTTTTATTACATTATTGCTGCGTTATTAAATAAAATCCTTTCTCTCCTCTTTACGTAGTCTTGTAAATGCCATAATAATCGAGTACTAACGATTGGTGTTTATGTGTATTAATTAGTCTCTAATCAATAATGCGGGTATTTTATAGAAGCTAATAAATTTACATCGAAAGAAGTTTGCATGTAAATGCACCGGTTTTCTTATGTCTTGTGGAAACGATACGAAAAGTGACTCAACAACCTTGGAATCAGTTGTATAAGAATCGAGATATAGCATATTTATCACAGTGGAAGCTTACACGCATTGCTAGATGTAGTGACCCTGTGAACGGCACAATTTATAATAAATGCCGCTAATGAAGTCTGCTAAACCATGTCAAACCGCAATTATTTCATTCCTAATGGATAATTCAGCGCTTGCATTGGTAGATGCAGTCACTTTCAATCTCTTTATCAATTTGTATCAGGAAACCACAGCTGGCTGTTACGCCCTTGTCTTTTGACAATTTAAAAGATATGTTGTTACCTTGATAAGTTCTAGGTACTGATTTCATAATTGTCAATCTAAGGTTAAAGTTGTTAGACAACAAATAATCTCTTTACACACGCCAACGAGATTCAACACGCTAATCTCAACTAATTATAGCAATTATTGTAATTATTAATTTCATTGCACTTATGATTCAATCGTGATTAATTGTTTCATTCGTAGAAAAACAACGAAATGCATCTGAGAAGCTTCTAGACGGACAAAAGTAATAACCATACACACATTGACAAATGAACTGATTTGGATTAAAATCCGACCTTTAATGATTTTTGATACGTGGACAGGTTTTGAAAAAAAAAACTATATACACAGGTGATGAATCTACTTATACTTATGTATCTAATTGTTTCACCTAAATTACAAGTTTTCATTTAGAATATATAAATACAAATAATGTAAAGATATGAATATTTCACGTTTACGGCAGCAACATGTGTGAAGGAAAACATTGTAAATAAGGAAATTCTATACTAAAGCTCATAATTACAAAGTTTAGCTTTATTTTTAAACCGTTATTTGGAATTATACATGCAATATAGACGCAAATTACGATGTGATATTTATTCGCATTAACCAAAATATGACCCGAGGCAAGCGGATATATCATCAAATAATTGATCTTATTGATATGTCGACCTTGTCTAAATTTAAGTTCCGTTTTGAGTTTACAGCTAAAAAACTATACAGAGGTCGTTTTTATGAACAAATATATCGACCTCGAAAATTTCTGCGTCATGATGATTGATCTATATAAAAAACTAATACATCCGAGATTATAGTTGATAATGATAATAATAAAAAGTAATTCAAATTCCTATGGTTAAATATGTACATAATCACGGATCTTAATATTCTTTATTGAACATATAATATTGCCCGTCGAGTTTACGCATATTTGTTCTAAATGTGCATATAATTATTCAGAAGATTTTTATAGGCAATATAAAATGTATGCGTTTTATTGCACTTAGAAACAGGAATGAAAATAATTTATTTAAATATTTTTATCTAAGCTTAAAAAGTATTGAGAAAATCACGTGCTTCATGCCGGATAATATGCAATAATATTAAAAGTGCATGGTTTTGAATCAATAGAATGTTATAATTATTTATTTAATGCGATGTATAAGTTGGCACGCGTAAAAAACTATGCCGTTAAAAAAGTTTTGTCTTAAATGAATGACATTGTAATTATTTGTTTAGTTCTGATCGCACGTTATCTGGGGATTCAACGTTTTATTTATGTTACATCTCTTTGCATAACGATTTTGTAATGTATGTAATATTGTGTTTATCTTCATTCGTACACGCAAACTTTCTCTGTCAAGAAAGCACTAATAGACACCAAAGAGTGTCTCGAAACATAAATTGAATGACCCCGATTTCGGGGGACTCATCCATACCTACGGCGAAAGTCCATCGGGCTAGTGTCCAAATTACCGCTCTTCATATTAGCTCATTACAATAAGTTATTGTTTTCGAGTCCATTTGAAATTCCCGTTCATCGCGTAATAGACGCAAATGTATTATAAAATACTCGGTAGCCGACGTTTCGAAGCCATGTGCTAATGTCATCTAACAACCCGCTTAATGAAATCGCGATTAGGCGAATTCTTCTTGTAAAGCAAGGTCAAGATACTTTTTCAAGTTCATTTCTATTATGATGATTAGAAACAAGACTTAGTATTCATTTTATGCTATTTTATTTTATATATTATACATAAATTGTTTTTAAACTGTCCTTGATAACTAATTAATTATTCACTAGAAATCTAAATGGTAATAGATACAAAATTATATTAAAATTTAAATAGGCGCATTCCATGCACGAAATTCTTTAATTCGGCATAATATTTACGACTGCAGAGTTAAACGAACTATTACGAAACTGTAGATGATTTTAATATATCTGATTTTTACATCAGTCTATTGATGCATTTGTATGAGATAATGTAGGAACTTTTTCTATTGATTTGGCGTATTTTATACGGTAAGTTATACAATCAAATCTTATGCCGTTGCAAAACGATACGTCGCGACCTGTGACCTAAAAATGTAATAAACGAATCTTTCTTTAGCCGATTTTTTAAATTCTGAAAACTGACATGTCACTATTCCGTGATGTGTGTAGACACGTAACATCAAATATTTCTAATTTATTTTCAAGATTGAATTAATATTACGGTAGATTCTTATTATGAAATCATCACCACGCGAAGTAGGAAGTCAATTATCTGCTTGTATTGGTTGATCTGTTTTGAAAATCGCTTTTAGGGTGCGATTTGAAGCTAGAGCTTTGCGTCCTATCTAAAAAGGCACGTGGACTACAGTTTTGTTAGCAGTTATATAATACATCCGATCAGTTGCCGGACGGAAGACGCAGCCGTGTCCGGCGAAAGTTGTGGTCATCTTATCGAAACAGGTGTTAAGAGGTACAGGTGAAACGATAATTTATATACGTTTGAAGGCTGCCATCAATAAATCACAACACGCGGACAAGGCACGTCAACACTCGTAGTAAACGGTCGAGAAGAAGGTGTTTACTTCCCGGCTCTTGGAACTGTTTTTCACTTTTTAAATAAAGATTTTACGGTTTGTCTTATTGGTATGTAAACAATATTGTGACTCACAAATGCCTCAATAGTATTTTTCGTAGGCCATAATTAATCCGGTAAAACACGATAATATTGACGTCTTACTATTAGCTGATATCAAGACGCGAAAAATACGTCATACATTTTTATGCGCTGGTGTGAATGAATTCAAGTTCATGTTTGTTTTTGTTTATGCAGAACAAATATAAAAGTTCAAGAGTCTGAAAAAGGATAGTTTTAGCACATCCTTGTATCTGGGACAATGTTGAGGTCAAGATTAAACGAACTAATTTAAATATTTTTTTCGCGCAAACAGTTGAAAAAAAAAATAAAACTTATTTAAGACGATATTCTTGTTTGCATAAAGTTAAAAGCAGAAACAATTCAAGAGCTGGTTTCGGTATTTGTTTTATTTTTGATATGGCACACGTTGTCTGGTTTACAAATCGCATGTAAGTTAGGTCAACTTTTTTAGATAATTGATTGATGTCTTGATCAGACAGACGAATATTAATAAAAGAAATAGTTGCGGTAAAAAATATTATTTTTGTTTAAAGAGTTTTGATGAATATGTTATTGCAAATTTATCAACTTTATTGATATTAAATCATTGGTAATAAAATATATATTTTTATATTTATTATTACAAGTAACTTTTGAACCTTTAAAAAACTATTATACAAATTGTCTAATATAAATTATTTATTTTTTAATGTTTATTGATAACAAATATTGTCAATTCCGATATTATTACAAGAAAAAAATATAGAAGTGTTAAAATTTTACATTATTATTGAATAGTTACAAAAAGTAAAATTTGTTGAGTTCCTATATATATTTAATAGATTAATCTTGTGGCTAATGAATTGTGTGATATATCAGCAGGATCATCTATGATATTGATGATTGGATGAAAACAATGATAATATCGTTGAGATGGCAAGGTCAATCTGAATGATTATCACACCTGCCAATCATTAATCCGGTCTTGTTCCGATCCTGACAAAGGCGACCTCGCGCACTGGACGCCAATCCGGGATAAGGCCGTTTGGATTCAATGCGCAATTATTCTACCGCGGTTCCAGTAAATTAATGTGTAACTAAATTTTATTATAGATTTAAACGTGTCCGAATCGCATTTATAATGATTATATGAAACACAAGCTCGATAATAAAGTCAATGTTAAATATTGTGTAATTATTAATCGATCCGGCTGATCCAAGTGAATGCAACTGTACATGGACCAAATTATAACCAAAGCGTGTAGTTTGACATTCGTGATTATTATGGTTGTTTCTTAGGTAATGATGTAAAAGACTCACCTCGATACTGTAGGATTTCTTGATAGCGAACATTTCGCGGTTCTTTTGTGCTGCTGCTACTGCCATCTTGATTAGAACTTTTCCTCACGTTGATTAACGAAAACTATCGATGGAGAAAACTTTCAAAGTTAAAAGTATAACAAACGCGCGCCGTTAACTAAAATGGCCTGACAAAATCACTGCCAATTAATTGATTTTTGATTCGTATACGATCTGATCGTCTAATTGCGCTCAAATTGATTTCCTCAGCGGATAACTCCTGAATTGCTGTATGTATCCAAAAATCTGCTGAATGTGTCAAAACTTCGCGAATAAATACGATCGTGTGCCGCTATATTTGTATACAATAATGTCAAATATCCAGCACGACGAATGTTGTACTCTTGGTGTGTTAGCGTACCAATGCAAGTTCGTCGGATGTGCGATCAGTATAAATACAAATGTCCCCTTCTCCGCGCGATCGGTCCTTTCATTGTTGCGCCACATGCGTGCGTCACAATCAGCCCCCCTTTCGGCGGCCGGCGATTCTTGATTGGCCGCGGCCGCCGCTGACGAGGGACACCCCGACGGCGGATGATCCGCTCAGGTGGTGAACTTGCTCCTCGGCGGACGCCGCTGGGAAACTCCTGGATGACTCCGCGGACCCGTTACATCGGACGCGATAAGAGCATTCGCTGCGCTTATTCGCCGTGCACGCGATGCGATGCGATGCGAGGCGATGCACGGGATTCCCCAAGACCGCGACCTACCGGGAAAACTTGTTTACATCTCACACTTAGGGAATAGCCCTTCGTGAGCGTAATCAGAACACTCAGCTATATTTCTACGAATATGATACGTTTTCGATACATATTAATAAGACATGATTATATTAAACGTAACTAAATCATCAGATATGATTATTAATTGACTGTTATAAAGTTTCGTAAGATCATGATTGATTGTTTCTGCAAAACAAATAGTTTAGTAATAAAGTTATAAGGTTACGTAAATAAAACATTATTTAATGAATTGATTGTTAATTATTACATTCATTTTACATAAAATACTTAATGGAAATTCGATAAAGAAATACAGACTTAGGAACAATCACTATTATGATATACTTTTGATAGTTCTTTATGTTAGTTCGTTATGATAGTTAGTTAGTTATGATAGTATAAAAATATTTGATAATTTACTGAAAATATATAATTTTTTTTTCAATGTATGCGGTAAAGTATGTGGCTATCTTGTACGCGGAAGAATTTTTCCTATGGGGAATGTTGTTGTCACATATAATTGTAGTCTGTTTTAACATTTTTTTTTTCTCATATCTTAACAGCAGTTAGAACCTTACGTCCTATGAGCTGTTAGGCTGAAACGTTTCTTTACTTCGTATTTTTAGATGGTAACCTAATGGTTAATCCATCTATATTTGATGGTTTTATTATTCAAATCAATCTATTAGGGCTGACTTTTTATCGGTGCAGCAATGCCGGGCAAGGGCTATTTTTACTTGGAACCATTTTTTCTATTTGTATTTCCAAGTGAAAACCATTGTCACTACTGCTTGACAACAGGCAGCTCGAAACGGGTCTCGAACCCGGGACCTCTGAATAAATAAAAAATGATGCAGAATTTATTTGTCTCAGCGATATAACTAACATAGTTGGAACTTTCTCAGAATGAACAAATATTCTGTATTATTATTTATTATTTATTTAGTTTTGTTTGTACTGAAATATATGTTACGGCAAAAAAGATAGCAAGCATAGTACAATAACAAAATTTCCGTCAATTGTCAAAAATGAAATTTTTGTAAAAATATTTTTCATAATGATATTTGTAATATTATTTTTATTTTCTATTTAAAAATCTATTATCATAATGTCATGACCAAGAAATTTTTCCAATAAGACGTAATAACATGGGATATCATCCAGTTTTCAATTTCTGGCCGCGGGTTTCCCGAAAACGACATCTGCGAGAATTATAACAGCTTGTTTATAGTTTGCAAAGAGATATTGATACAAACATATAAAATGTTTAATTACATTAATCATTTTTGGAGATAACAGTAGCAATTTATCACGGAAATGTCATATATATATATATATATATATATATATATATATATCGTTTATACAAATGTAATTATATTATATTATATTTTTTAATAATTTTACATAGTTTTTGTCGTTTTTATTTAACATATCAAATATTATAATATCTCATTCTCTTAACATTTTTTATTTTGTGCGATTTTTAGGAACACAAAATATATTCAGCAATATTTTTGAAATTCAAACCATTGATAAAATTAATTAATACTTTTACAATTTTTTTTCATATTTTGAATATAAATAATTATTAAAATATTTGTTATAATGGTATATTAAAATCACTGTTTGACACAAAATTATTATAAAGCTGCAAGTATTAAAAAAACTATAGTTTATATAAACACTTATTAACACAATTTGTTTAACGGAATATTTTAATTATTTTTATTTTTTTTATAGAATATAAAATTTATTTTATATAACACAAATATATAATTATGTCTTTATGTATAATTAAGATAAATAGTTAAATTATGCCATTTAACATCCAATAATAAATATTAATTTTAAAATGAGAATTTAGTTTTTTTGAATTTTAGTTTTGAAAAATCTGATATTTTTTTACATTTTAACTTTTGAAATTGGTTGAATATCTCAAATTTTTTTCAAAGCAATCGTAGCTGTTATTAAGACGTAAGCGCCGTGTCGCAGACTAACAGATAAAGATTGTTAAAGAACCCATCGAAATTTAAACAATATTTGTACTTATTATTAAAATCCTTATAAAGTATTTTATAATATGATGTGCATACGTCTAATGATTATTTTTGACCGCTAAATGGCATTTTTTCACTATTTTTATCAAAAGAAAATATACCCCAAAATTTGAATTTTTGGAACTTTTTACCTCGTATCTTCGAAACCCCTGGACTTGCCTTTGCCAAAAATTAATCAGCACATATCATCATCAATACAAATCAAATGCTATCTGAATTATTCAAATCGGTTGATTCGTGTTCCCGATATCGTCGGCGAAAATTTGTATTCGAATACAAACACACACATATACACACATACAACCATTTTTTCTAAGGTATGCCAAAGTGTTCAGAAACCTTTGAAATGTAGAGATATAAAAAAATCTATTTTCAATATTTTTGTGATTACTACAACACGAGAAGTTAAAAATATTAAGATTTTAATAAAATTAGAATTCTTCTAAAATTATAAACAAAATATAAAATGGTAAACTTATATATGATGTAAATACTTATATATTTATTTTATAAATGAGGAATAATTCGTAATTTCAACACATCAAAATCATAATTGTTGCTATTTTACATTTCGATTGTAATTTAAAAAAAAAATCATAAAAATTATTTTAAATCTATGTTTCTTAGTTATAATGCGTTCAATAAAGTATATTTTGCCTTCTAAATTTTAGTTTTAGAATTAATAACCTTGCGCTACGTATTGCTTCCAGTAATGCATTTCAAAAAAAAGTTGTCAATCGAAACATTCCGTGGACTTGAAAGTTTGGCAATAGCTAATTTGTCATTGTATGTATTCATTGCAATCAATATTTACATATATTGGATTTTATTATATAATTTGATGTTTAAAAATATATGATCATTATTTACTTGAATTATACTTATAACTGTTGAAACTAAAACAAAATTTGAAATATTTGAAATAATATTTTTGAAGTGATTATATTCAACAAAATTTTTGTACTTTTAATTTACTATTTTGCTGCAAAATTATTGTAATAATGATAGAGTACTAATCATATTAATCAATAATAATTACTTATTGCAATGACGACGAAGAGCATATAGCATTTAATTATTGAACATTTGTCGAAGGATTTACATTTCAAATATTATTTGAAATATTCTATTTTTTTAATTCTGCAGTAGTTTAAAACGTACTTTGTTGGCAATTGACAATAACTGAAACTGAAGAGCCAAAAATATTATCATTGCTTTTTTTATAAGTTTGCAATTTATTTAAATTTTAATCTAACTACAATCAAAAATTTTATACAAAAGTGACTAAAAAAATTCTAAATTGTAATTAACTGTATGGGTGTTAAGACGTGATTATCTTACTGCTTTGTTATTATTTTGAGTTTATTAAATACCAACAATATTAGTTTGTTGTATAGTTTCGATACAAAAATTCAAAATCAACGAGGTACATAGACTAATTTCAGTAAATTTTAAATAAAATTTTGTAGAATCTACTTTAAGCAAGTTATATTGCTTTTTATTAAAAACACATAAAAGTAAATAATTTATTTCGTGTAAAGAAAGTCTTTTATTTAAAAAAAATCATACATTTTTTCAAAATACCTCGAAAGCTGTGTGAAATTCGTTGATTCTATTTCTGTTCCTTAATTATCATACATAAGATATTTATCTAAATGCTGTCAATATTAATATATAATTAAATGGTGATTACATTTTATTACTAATGATTTAAATACTTATAGTATATAGTATATTTAAATATTTAAATCGCAAATAATTTCTTGCCTTATAAGAAAAGTGCAATCATTTGTTCCAACTCAAGTATGATCGATTGATTGAATGAAAAAAATCTATACATATTAATAGTCTCAGCCGATTATAATAATAGCAGAACAAACTGATTGCTGCAAGAATAGATTTATTAAGTTAATTAACACATTAATATATGCAAATCTTACGATAATCAATATTTATACGTCAGTCAATATAGTAATTTTATTATTACACGAGTCAGGGCCGACGTTTACATGATTTTGCAGGATATAATTATTACTAGAAGTTTCTAATAATTTATGTTTTGACTAAATTATTTTTTTCTAATGATGATCGATAATGAAGAAATATACAAATTCATGATTTCATATCCATCATAAAATAATTTGATACATATTTACTATGCTATTGTTGTTCAATTCAATTTTGTTTGCTGTGTAAAAACTATTCTTTGAATTTGTTTCTTACTTGTAATTATTTTGTCTTCTTAATTTACTTGCTAGAATTTTAAACGTTATTGGAAAATAATTCTCACTTTGTTTTTTCTTTTAATAATTGGATGAAGTCCTAAATGAGAACTTTTGGTCATATTATATTAGATTTTATTATACTATATTAAATTTATATTCTTATATATTATTAAATAAATTAATTATAAAAATAATACAAAGATATCATCTTCAATTAATATTTAAATTAACACAGATTTTGCATTAATGTACAAAATAATTTATTTTTGTTTTTTTAACTGCAGTAAACAGTTTTTATATTTGGCTTATTTCATGTTTAAAATATTCCTTCAACTTATGCTTAT